AATAATAATAATAATAATAATAATAATAATAATAATAATAATAATAATAATAATAATAATAATAACAATAATAACTAATAATAATAATAATATTAATAATAATAATAATAATAATAATAATAATAACAGTAATAATAATAATAATAATAGTAATAATAATAATAATAATAATAATAGCAATAATAATGATAATAATAATAATAATGATAATAATAATACTAATAATAATAATAATAATAATAATAATAAAAACAATAATATCAATAATAATTGCGATAGTAGTAACAGTAATAATAACAATAGTAATTGCGATAGTGGTGACAGTAATAATAATTGGTAGTATTGGTAACACAAGCAGTGCTAATATTATCGGTTTGGTAAATTAAAATAATTACAAACACCAAGGAAAAAAGTTGATAATGAAACTTTGAATGATATTGATAACGATATTGCGAATAATAACAATAATGAAAGTGGTAATTATAATCATAATTGTTATTGGCAATACATTAATGTTGAAAATTCGACGGAACAACCAAAAAGCAAACAAATGATGATCCCTTAATTGCTAATTTATAAAAAAAAAAAAAACTCAAAAATTTTTACTCAAATCATTTCTATGACAGAGCTGGAAATGAAAAATTGATTGTGACGCAAAATTTCGAAACGCACGAGAAAAACTTCAGCAATGAAAAAATTTGTGTTCAAAAAAAACAGGAAGTGAATTACTTCAAATTCGGTTATTTAATAATTAAATAATTACGTCAAAAATTACTTTGTTGTTGAAACATTTCAACCGAAAATGCATCCGAATTAGTAATAATTTGTCGCCTTTCACAAATTTTATTTTTCAAAAAATCGCAAAAAAATTTAGGCAAAAAATCATGTTATCCAATTGATGAAATTACAATGTGAATTTTAAAATTTTACATTTTTCTCTATTTGGGTGATTTAACATTTTTTTTTAACGAATCTAACTTCCCCTTTTTCAACTTAATGAATAGTTTTTGCTAATTCCTTCTAAAACATTCTATTTCCAATTTAACATTTCAATTAATCATTTTAAATGAATGATTAGGTGTTGTCACTTCATCAACCATCTTATCAGTCAGTAACATTATGTGTTCATTTACAAATGAGTTGATCAATTTACGCAAGACAAAACAAGTTTTCTGTTATATAAAAAGGAAAATAATTAATTTGAATTAATAAAATTAGCACGTATTTCATAATTTTCTCGCACAAACAAAATGACGTATTGTGTAGCCAATAATTATTTATATATGTGAGTAAATAAATAAACAAGTAAATAATAGGTAGATAAGTAAGTAAATATGTACGTGGGTAAGTAAAAAAGTAGGTAAATAAGTAAATAAGCAGCAAATTTATTGTTCTACAAAATGTATGTATTTGCGTATAAAAAAATCAACAAAATGACATAAATTAAATGGCCAAAAAAAAAGAAAATAAATAAATTTTAATGGAAATTGATAAAAAAATATTAAAATAATTGGAGGAGGAACAAATCTATTGATCAAGAAAAATAATAGCAGCAGAAAGACAATTATTATTATCGTTATCGTTATTTATTATTCCTATTATTATTATCAGTGATAAATATATTGATATAATGATATAAATTAATTTAACAAAACGAAAAAAGAATAAGAGCAGTTTAATGGTAAATGGTAAAATACGAGGAGTGATAAGATTTAATCATTAGGAGAAATGATAATAAAAGAAGGCGTGAATGTAATTTTGTGTTTAAGAAAAAAAATGATTGTTGATTAAGAAAAAATATTGATTATTATTATCATTATCACTATTATTGTTGATATTGTTATTGTTACTATTATTATGAATATTATTGTTATTATTATTATTATTGTTGTTATTATTACTATTATTATTATTATTATTATTATTATTATTATTATTATTATTATTATTATTATTATTATTATTATTATTATTATTATTATTATTATTATTATTA